ACGCAATACAATCAAGACTCAATAGCTATTAGTTTTATCACAGCTAATGAAATGGCTTCAACTGATAATTTAAATCAGTTAGAGGCAACATTTATGTACACTCAACTGTTCAAAGAAAATCTCCTTGATATACAACATGATGAACTGGCGATCAAAACGTTTATTTCTTATTGTCGCCTTAATGACTGCGTGTCACCAAAATATATTGACCGTTTTGAGAAAGAATACCATGCTCAATCAGCTATTTGGTGGTATACTTTTCCATCGAATATCTATTCTATGCTCAATCATTGTCTTCGAACAATGGATGCTGATATTATTATTACTATGGGTTTTTTCATTCAAGATCTTCACCTCCAAATCCAACTACTATACCAAAAACAGGTTAATAGTTATCATGGCAAACCATTTTTAGTTTATCGAGGACAAGGTCTTATCAAATCCGACTTTGAAAAACTTCAAAAAACGAAAGGTGGACTTATGTCATTTAATAATTTCTTGTCCACCAGTAAAAAAGAACAAGTGTCCTTCGGTTTTGCTCAAGAAGCGTCAACAAGGCCGAATATGGTGGGCATTCTTTTTATAATGTCCATTGATCCTTGTATTAAATCAGCACCATTTGCCTCCATCAAAGATATGAGTTATTATAAGGATGAAGATGAAATTCTCTTCTCAATGCACACCGTTTTTCGAGTGATTACAATCCAACAAATGAACAATCAGAACCAACTTTATCAAGTTGAATTACAGTTAACATCGGATGATGATCAACAATTACGAAAACTGACTGATCGGATACGAGAAGAAGCTGGCGGTGGCAATGGATGGCATAGGCTGGGTAGCTTATTCCTTGAAATTGGCCAATTTAATAAAGCTGAAGAACTTTATAACGTATTACTCGAACAGACATCTGATGAGAGTGAAAAAGCGATTTATTATCATCAACTGGGATATGTCAAAACTGACCAGGGTGATTATGAAAAGGCTATCTGGTATTATGAAAAAGCACTTGGAATTCAACAAAAAACTTTCCCTTCCAATTATCCTTCATTGGCTAATTCATACAACAACATCGGTAGTGTGTATACCAAGATGGGAGAGTACTCCAAAGCACTTACAGCTCACGAAAAAACACTTGAAATTCAAGAAAAAACTCTTCCTCCAAATCATCCTGATTTGGCTACTGCATACAACAACATCGGTAATGTG